CCAGCCTGAACGGAAGACAGGGCCAAGGTGCTCCCCATGAGCGCCTTGTGAGCTGGCACCCCTGGCGTGGGCGCCGTGTTCGCGCTCCCGAGGTTGAGGGTCTCCACCACGTAGTCCAGGTACTTCGGGTTCGCCTTCAACTCTGTCCCGTGCTCGAGCCGCGTCCTCAACCTCTTCAGGTGCTCGTAGGTAGTGCCGAACTCGTGGATGTCCCCGCCGCTGAAGGTCACGTGCTGGCCCAGCTCGTCGCGGAAGCCCTCCAGCGCGTCCCTTGGCCCTGCCATGTGTAGGTCGTCCATGTGGAGCTCGACCACCACCTCAGTCTCCGAGTTGTAGAAGAATTGTGGGGCCATCTCGCACCTCGCCATGCGCATCTCGTCCATGAGGATGCCCGCCATGCGCTCCACCCAGCCAGGCGCCGCCGTGCGCCTGCCAGGCAGCTGTCTCTTCAACTTCCAGTAGATGTCCGTGCTCTTGCCCTCTGCCTGCAGCCTGTCGAGGTACTCCTGCGGTGGATCCACCACCACATCCTCGTGCTCGGGCGCCTGGTAGGAGGCGTCCGTCGCGTCTAGCGTCATCACCTCGAAGCCGCGCTTGAGAGCCGCGAAGTCGATGAGCCTGTTGGAGATCCGAGCCGATCCTGGCGTGAACAGGTCGTCGCGCCACTCCTGCCAGCGGAGCTCGCGGCAGACGAATCTCACCTTGCGCTGCCACTCCTGTCGCGCAGGCTTCCACCTCCACTGCGTTTCCCAGCGGGTGGTGATGTTCTTCGTTCCCCTTGCCTCCGACTTGGGGGTGTCCTCGCCGACGCCGTGGTCCAGGAGGCTCTGCAGGTGCTCAAGCGTGAGCTTCTTGTCCAGCTCATCCTGAGCGCCCACGTCGAACATGTCCTCGGTCTGGCCCTGGACCTCATCCGGGATCTCCTCCCAGAGCGCGTCGGGCGGGTCGTCTATGTTGCCGACGTCCAGCTCGTGGACGGCCGCAACCCGCGCTCGTTTGCTCTCTGAGGCCTCCGCCTCAGGCGGCAGCCGGCGCCTCTCCGCCTGTGGCGGGGGCGCCCCCATGACCGCATCTCCTGGCGCTGGCTGCGCTGGCCGCCGGGGCTGCGGCCGTGGCTGTGGCTGTCCTGCCGCCGCCGCTGGGCCTGGGGCCTGCGGTGGGGCTTGGGGCTGAGCAGGGTCCGCTCGGTCCTCGGGTGGCCCTCCCGGCGGTGGTGCCTGCTGCTGCTGCTGCTGCTGCTGCTGCTGCTGCTGATCCGCCCTCGGGATCTCTGTCGCCACGGGCGGGGCTGCCCGTGGTCGCCTCGACCTCTCGGGCGCCGTCCTCGTCGCCCACGGGGGGCCCGTCGCCGACAGCAGAAAGTCCTTGTCGGTCTGTCTGCCCTCAGGGAGCCGTCGCACGGTCCGAGCTCGATCGACCCCTTGCGGAGTCATCGGCAAATGCTCCTGGGACTCGTCAGATCTGCCAACCCAGATCCCACGGCTCCACTGCGCCTCCCCGCGGTGCAGCCGCCGTCCTCCACCGAGTCCTCGATGCTCGGTCGAACTATTCGATACAGCACCGTCTCACCGAAGGTGCAGATGTCTGTGGGCAACTTGCACCTGCACCTTCCCAAATTTACATCATTTCGGCTGTTCGTCATGTGCACCCTGCGCTTGGAAGCGGAGACCAGCGGTCCCGGTCGCCTCAGCCCAGTGTCGTGTGATATCCAGTTCTTGAAACTACCTGTCTGCACGTTGACAACCCATTTGGTAAGCATCGGCCTCCACACGAAGCAGCGCGCTCTTGGGACTTCAACGAGAGACGCTCATCCGAACATGCTTGCCCAGCTTCATCAAATCGAAGTTCTGACCAATCACGTTTTGCAAATGGGAATCGCCAGTAGCAATCACGCTTTCGCCAGGTCCGCCCGCACTGGGAACAACACGAGATGTCGGCTGCGGCGTCGGCCAACCTGGAGGATACGTTGGGCAACGCGTCAGGCTGGGCGTTGGGAAGGGGGTCGGGAAGGCCGTAGGGAAGGCAGTCGGGTAGGGCGTCGGGTGGGGCGTCGCTGGCATTGACAGCTGGCAGAGCATACCACGGTGCCAGCCGCCCCCGAATGTTGAGACTCCTTTATCCGCCACCGTGCCTGCAAGGAGTGGGCGTGTTAGAATGCTTCTCTGTTGACAGAGCGATCCTTCAGTGTTCTCTGGGGCCGACCTCTCCCTCATCGCGCGCGTGGTGATAGCATCAGCCCTTCTGGTTCTGCTCTCCAGCGCTCTTTTCGGCCTTCAGGCGGCCAGTGTGGCCTCTGAGATGGCCTTCAAGACAGCCACGATGACACCATAGAAGCCTTCTAG